CTAATTCTACTAATCAAGAATAAGTCAAAATTATTTAAGTGCCATACAACAAGTCAGTGTATATTTGTACTTTAGCTCTCACATTGTTTTTCATTGTTTGCTTTCCTGAGGTTGCAGAGGAATTTATCAACTACTGCTCGTGTGAAACCTATTATTGTCATACTACAGATAGCAAGTGTTATGATAGCAGACTGTCAGTCCTGGAAGTCCTGAGATAACTTATGAACAATTAGAAAAGAATTCCTTTCCTGGAAATTAAAACACAAGTATTAAAATTCAGGAGTGCCTGGGTTCATATCAATAAAATACTGGACATGTAAATCCAACACATGACCTGGATATTATTTTTATGTAAATGTGAGAGTGTGAAGGAACAGTTTGCTTAGCATTTGACCTCAGGGAACCCATCTTCATGAATCAAAACTGATTGTGTTCTGGTCTATGGATTAGATTTCCAGCACAAAATTGCCAGGATCCTGCAAAAAAAGAACAAACTGATTGCTTAACTTTGGAGCTCTGGCAAGTTAGTTGATATTATCTATATTCACTGAGATTAATGACAAATTCCAATTTGGAAAAGCTGTTGTTAAAACAAACGTCATGTTTGGGTACTAGGAACATAGTTGCCAAAAAGTTTCCTATGCAATTGCCCCCACCTTCTCTAAACTGATTCTTCAGGGTAAATGTTGGTATAATCTCCTTAACTGACAGATCCTACTTTCCTTGTTTGGAATTTGAAAGTTTTCCCCCCTTCAATCCAATCTTCAAACAAGTAATGATATAAGATATATTCTCTCTGATTTGTAGCTAAGTAAATTTAGAGATTCTTTTGACCCAGTATCACTCAGTTCATCCCACAGTTATCAATGAAATCTGTTTACTTTCCTAAACCATAGTCATTGTTTTGAATAACATGAGTAGAGAAGAAAGAAAAAAGGCAAAGGAATAAATGACTGAATGTGAGAGTTATGGGTGTTGAAAGTTTATATGGTCTACAAGTGATTTAAGAAAATAATTTAAATTTTAATTTAAATATTTAAAATAGCAAAATAAAGAGTATGAAATTGATTTTGAGATGCTGGGTGGAAATTGTTTCAAAATAAAGAAACTTGCTAGTTTCCTAATAGATTATAAAGAGGTCCCAACTATTACTTCAACTCATCTGTCTCCTAAGTAAAACTGTAAGTGGAGACATATCTTCTTGTAGATGAAAGGATAAGTAAGCTATGCAGATCAGTAATCATCTTCACATCTGGAATGTTAGTGCTTTGCCACTTGAGATCCTATGCGGACTCTGACACTGTGGAAACAAGGGACAACACACTTGAGGCTATTTTGAAGTAAGCAACCCGAATGCATTAGAAACAATTCTGGGAAGGGGTTAATCTATTGTGATTGGAGACATTATCCTTGATCAAAGTTTCTTTGTAAGGACCCTTGAGCACTTTGCAGAGAAGATGGCCCATGATAAAAAGAAGCAGCAGCTCCTGTAATTATTGAGATCTAATCATAAGTGCATGCTTACATTATTACCTCATTTGGTCTCCATATTACAGATGCGGAAGTGGTGGCTCAGAGCTTGTGATCTCCCCAAGGTCATTAAACTTGTAAATAGCAGCCTGTCTCTAAAACCGTGTGAAAACAAGGCCCCTAAAGACTATATAATCTCTTCTTAAGATTCTGCAGCTGAGATTTCCTTCATTTCAGTCTTTTTACATTTTCCTGAGTAGTTGAGGATAACAGCAAGAATATTGCTGTTTATATATTTAGATTTCTATTTAAGACTGGTTTTCTTGACTAGTGTAAGTGGCTTACCAGATATCAGAAAGAAGTGAAAATCATGGAAACTTTTACTGCTTTCATGAGCAGTACATCTTGTTAACTTTATTGGATGAATATTGTAAAGCCATGAATTTTTCACAGAAAAAAAAAAAAGATTCAGGCTGATCTCTCTCCATATATACCTTTTTTTTTTTTTTTTTTGACATGAATTCCACAATGCTGGTACTACTCCCTCCCCTCGTTTATCCTAAGTTTTCAGTCCTTCCATATATTAGTATCACACTCAAACTACTGTAATTTTTTAAGGAAACACCTTGTGCAAAAAGACCCTTTAGAATGGTGGATATCTCCAGTCCACCAAATTTGTTTTTCTTAAACATTGAACAGATCCAAGAAGCTCCTGCGCCTGCCTTAGCTGAACTTTGCTTTAAACAGGCCCGTGGCCACAGTGGGGATATCTCGCCTGGCCCAATTTGGGAGCAGCTGGGTTGGACAAGCGCTGGAGCTGGCTCTTTCCGTCTGGGTCAGAACACGGTCCCTTTCCGAGTCTGCTCAGGAGGCCGCGAGTGCGGGCCGTGGCCCCAGCTCTTCCCGGAGCGCGTGCGCCCTCTGGCGGCCGGATCCGGGAATAGGGTGCCTGAGAACTGAGGGATTCCGGGGTCCTTCACGCCAGCGCAGCGCTAGGGGCGCCCGCACCCGGAGGTAACCCTGACAAATAGAAGTCCGGGTGTCCGGGCATCGACCTCGCTTAGTCTCCCCAAACTGCTCTGCCCACTCGCGCTACGTCCCCCTGTTCCGGGCTCGCTCCAGGGGAGTTGTCCTGGCTTCGGAGCGCGGTGGCCCCAACTTTGCCGGCGCGGGCCCGCATTTCTTGCCTTTTCCGTGGCCTGCAAGGCTGGCGGCCGGCTGGCGGCCAGCGACCGGCGGCCCGCGGCCCGAGCCGGGTCCTGACATTTGGGGGCAGCTGAGCGCCCTTCTTTGCCCGGAAGCGCCTGGCGCAGCGGACCTGCGGCCCGCTTCAGAGCCGGGGGCCGCGTCGGGAAAAGGAAGAGCTTGTAATCGCTTGCCGCAGGACAATGCCGACTTTTGAACCTCTAACCACTAAGCAAACAACCCTTGGGCTCTCGCTCCACTGTCCAAACAGGGTTTATTGACAGGTGTTTCACAGCAACGCATAGCAACCGTGGCGGCGGCGAGGAGGCGGGCGTGAGGGCGCGGCCCGCCTGGGCTCTGGGCTGCCCTAGAGGCTCCTGGACCCCCAGGGGATACCCCCTGCTCAGCACACCCCAACCCGGTTTCTCCCGTGGGCGAGGCGGCCCGGCACTGTCCCTCACACTCAGAGGCCCAGCCCCCGGAGCCCTTTTCCCAACCCCCGAGTGGAATGCGCCAGCCGGGAAGACCACGGAATTGGGGAGATGCTGGAGGGGGCGGTTTGTCCCGCAGTTTTGTTCGTCCTCCCCAGCCCTCGGGGGCATCTCCTTCCCCTGTGAAGGCAATGAGTAAAGCTCAAAGGACTTGTGGGAATACCGAAACCGAGGACGAAGCCCTGCCCAGAGTGCCCAGCTAGCGGCTTCCAGGACCAAGAACCACAGGGACAGCAGCCAGGTCCCCGGCTGGGTAACGAGCAGCCATTGATAAAAAGATATATTGATTCTTGAATTCTTGGTGATGGGGTAGGTGGGACGGGAAGGGTGGGATAAGGGAACTGTGTGGGACAGGGCAAGAGATAGAGGCAGAAAAGTCTCAGGTCAATGCCCGGCCATTGATGGGAGACTATATTCATGCAAATATTCCCTGGGAAATCAGAAAATAAAATACTTTTCCTCAATGTTCATGTTTAACTAGCTGGATTGTGGCACACTCTTAGGAAGAAAGGAATCACTGGTGAAACGTTTGCAGTTGCCTTGGTGTGGATTTGATGAGATGCTCTGAGGGGCTCTCTGACCCCCAGCCTCCAAAACTCATCGCAGGTGGGGAGATATGGCCCATTCAGATGTGCATTCTGCCCAAAGGCACACCCAGGGGAACCACACATTTCACAATCCAAGGCTGGGCTCAAGCTTGGGGGCAGGGATGGTCTCCGAACCTGCTTTTTTTCTGGCTTCTGGTGCTCTGGGGTAAAATGAGGTTATTCAGATAACCTTCTCCACGCCCCCCCCCCGCCCTGATTTTGCTAATTCTCTTTGCAAGTAGAGGTTTTCCTTTCTTAAAAAAAAATTCTGGAAAAAATCTGAAGACAATAAATACAGAATCTGAAATATGGAAAACTCATTTTATCTTTTCTTCTTTTTAGAAAAAAAATTCAGCTGTGTTCAAATACCCCCACTTCCCTTCACCATATCACTTCTCTCCCCATGGATCCAGAAGGCTTTTTAAAGACTGGCTTGGATGTTACACAGACCAACAACTCAAACAGCAGCAACAACAACTCCCCTTCTTCATCAGCCCCAAGATTGTGAAAATGACAGGAAGTCCAGGCCGGCTCTGGCATTTATAGCACTGACATACATTCAGCCCAGAGAAGCTCTGGTGACAGGCTTTCTAAACAAGGTCCAGTCCTGGGCCCCCTTGTCAGGCCTAGAGTCCAAAACCACCCCCTTCACCATCCATCGCACATACACCAGCCAAGCCTTTTCTGATCTGGGGAGGGAAGAGAAGAAAGACAAAGACCTAGGGGTTCTGCAGTCTTTGCTCCATCCAGGTTTCTATCTTAGCCGTCTCTAACTTCTGCAGTTTAAATCTTGTCTTCCCTTGAGGCTGTAGGGGCCAGCTGGTCTTTGGATGGCAGTGAGTAGGCAGTAGCCATCTTGGCTCTAAGCACTGGCATTCCCCTGAGTTCCTCTCTCCCCTCAGCTTCAACCAGAGATGCATCCTGAAGATTTTGGAGGTAAAGAGCTGGGGAGGAGGGGGCTGAAAACCTGGTCTGTTTAGCCAGTACCGCTTCTGCCAGCACTACGTGAAATCCCAGTGGACTCCATTCCCGTCTCCTCCCTGGCAGTCAGACCGAAAAAAGTCAAAATCTGGGACAATGTCTTTCTTGAGGTCCCCAACCCCACTTGTCTTTACTCCTGGCCCCCACTTTTCTTCTGAGAGCTGGATAAATTGGTTTCCTGTGTACGTTTGTGGGTGGGAGGGGAGGGCTCTCTCCTGAGGATTCAAGCGGAGTCCATGCTCCTCACGACTCAGTCTGGAATTGCTCTGCTGCAGGCCACTGTAGGTCACTGGGTGACAGTGGAGTTCAACACCCCTCCAGTTGGCCCCAGGACCCCAGGGACAGAGCCTGGCACAGAGCCTTGCAGGGTAGACACAGGACTCAGGGGCTCTGGGACACTTCTCAGAGGACCTGGCTGTGGCTGCGGAGGTTGAGCTGCAGGCGGTGGAGGCTGTTGCTGCTGCTGCAATTTCTTCTTGTTGATTTTCCTTTCCTTCGCTCTGCGGTTCTGAAACCAAATTTTAACCTGGAAATGGACAGATGAAGAAAACAGCAGATTGTGAAGAAAAGGATGTGGGTGGGTGGGAGACTGATATCAGCACTAGCATCTGTATCTTCCTTTCCAACTAAAGAAGTGCCTCTCTGAAGCAAGGACCCCCAAGCCCTCTCTCAGCCTTTCATGGGATATCTCCACAACAGCCCACCGCTGGAGCCCTTCCCAAGCCCGGTTCGGCACCCTGAGAGAAGGGCCTCCCTCCCGCTCTGGCCCGTCCCCTTGTTCCCCAGCTTTCTTTCTAAAGCAGCCTTTATCTACAACTTCACTGGAAAAGTTCAGAGTCTCAAAACTAAGGAAAACAGAAACCACAAGACCTTTTCTGTACCGAGCAAGAGGAAACCAGGGCTGGGTGGACTTCATATGACAACTTTTGGCCTCTCAAAACTAAACTAAAAGGTAATATTCCTCATGTTGGGGTGGAGAATGAGACTTAATGTGGGCTTCCTGGCTGTGAATTTGGCCTATTTTTTTTCCTAGACCATAGAGAGTGTTCATTAGCTAAGCCTCACCCCCTAGTATAGTTTTTCATGGGCAGGGATCGCGGTCAATTAATTTTTTTCCAGGTACAGTGACCCAAATAGAATCCTGTATTAAACCAATGCTGCTTTTTCTTACATTGCCCTGACCCCAGAAAATAGAAAAATAAATATTCAACATCATCAAGAAAGACAACTACAGGTAGAAGAAGCCTTTTCTTTTGTTAAAGCACTCAGAAGGAAAATGCTCCCCATCCTGCTGCTTTAACCTGCAGCCTGGCTTCTAACTTTCCCCACAGGACCCCCCACCCCAGGCAGTGACCAGGTGGGGAGGGAGAAGGGTCGTTCCTACCTGCCTCTCGGAGAGCCCCAGGGTGGCGGCCAGTTCAGCTTTCCTGCGGATGGTGATGTAGCGACTGTAGTGAAACTCCTTCTCCAGCTCCAGCCGCTGGTGGTCCGTGTACACCACCCGGTATTTGTCTTTCGTCCTGGTTTTCACTGGAGGAAGGAGAAGTCAGAGCTGAGAACTACAAGGCAGCCCATCAGTCATGGGTAATGACAAACCTCCCTAACCCAAGGGCCATTTCTCTTCCTCCACCGCCCTGGGGGGCCGGGGTTTGGCTGGTTCCTGCCAGTTTGACAAGAACCCCCCCTCCAAGAGGGCACTGGGGGAGGGTGTGGGGCTCTCTGGGACACTAAACTAACCTTGGGGTTAAGTGGTTTTTAAAAACTAAGAAAAACTAAAACTTCTACACACAGAAGAAAGCAGAACCCATCCTCCATTTTGGTGAACCAAATTTGGTACTGGAGCCGGCTAGGGAAAGAGAACAGGATAAAGAATCCAGAGTCCTGGGACTACTCAGATTTTCAGGCCCACCAGAAATGAAAGCCCAACTAAAATCATGGGTATGTATTAGTGGTGGAGGTTACTTTCTGTTTGCTTTATTAGAAGTGGAAACGGGGGTGCAGGCGCTGACGGGTTCCCTCAAGTCACCAGAATCACCCCTCAGCACCCCGGGCCCCTCTGCAGAAATTCTGAGCTGGGGTCTGGCAGGCAGAGGCAGGCAGAAAGCCCCGCCAGCTGGGAACACAGTGGATACCTGGTGGAACCTGGTTTGAGGTTTCCCAATCTCTTTAAATCCCCCATTTATTTCTGCCTCAAACCCTGCAGAGCTATCCTGACCAGGGATCTATATTCACTGGATTGAGTCAACATATTAAACCACGGATTGATTGTTTTACTGAAGGGTCTTGACAAATGGTGCCGCCTCAGTTGGAACAGACCCCAGCCTGGCGTCTCCACCGCGTCTGTCCTGGGTCAACCCTCGGCAAGGCCCTGGCCAGGCCTCGATCTTCCGGCAGCAGAACGGTTCAGTCGCCCAGTGCCCAGTCCGACAGAAAGATCTAAAGGGTCTAGGAGCTGCTCGGAGGTGTTTAATGCCCCGCAGGCCGACTTTGTTCAGGTAAAACCCTTTGCAAATCACAACAAAAGCGCCCTGGGAAGATACAGGCTGGATCAGAGGGAGCTCCCCCAAGCTTCTGAAAGGCGAACACAGCCGCAAACAATGCCGGACAAGGCGATCTTATCAAAGAAAAGCCCTTTCAATGCCTTAATAACAACCGCATTCTGTTTGAATTACCACTACTGAGCAAATGGCGGCCCCGGCTTTCATCCCCCTCCCCGCCAGGCACATTAACATAAACACCGCCCGGCAGGCGCATTTGAATGGGAGCTGCGGCCCCGACCCCGCGCCGGCGAAGAAAGTGAAGGGAACTAACACTTCCCGAGGGCTTTCCTAGCGGTGGGCGCGTTCCCACGAGCTACAGCCTCACAGGTTACCACTCGCGGTTGCCAATGACAGTCCCCCCTTTTTACGGATGGGGAAACAGAATCAGACTAGGTCGGACAAGTAGTAAAGGTGCGGCTGGCACCTTGGTCAGGTTGACGCGACAAAACACACCTCCAGGGCTGGGGAGTGGGACGCAAAGGAATCATCCGAGCCCAGTTCCCCAGTAGAGACACACCTTGGGGTGCTCGGGAGCCGCTGTTGCTCGGATGCTGAATACCCCAGAGGGATCGGGAAACGCGGAGAGGGGGACGTTTTGCACTCTGCAGCCCGCGCCCAAGGGCCTTGCAGGCGCCCCGCACCCCCTGGGAACCAAAGAGGGGGCTGGAAGAGGGGAGAGATGAGAGGGACTTGCCAGAATTCATTATTGACTGCGAAAGTCACCACCCTCTTTCCGGGCCCTAAAAGAGACAATGGTAGGGTTGGGAAGGTGTATATCAAAGCGGGCCGGGCTGAGCACCACCCCTTCTCCCCTTGACAGATGATGCTCCGCAGAGAAGCCGGGCTCCAGCCCGCGGGCCGCGGCCTCCTTACATTAACATCATAAGGGCGCCCGGCGCCGACTGCGGCCTTGCCACCTTGGCGCGGGACTTCACAGCGACCTCTCATCTGCTGACCTCGAGGCCTGGACTCCTGCAGCTCTCCTCCCTCTCCCACCGCTCTGCGCTCTCCCGGGACGCGCCAAAGGCCTCCCCTAGGCCGTCGGGTCCCCGCCAGTTGCGCTCCTGGCAGGCTCTGGAGAGAAAGCCTACTTTGGACTCGCGCTCTATTCCAACCAGGGTGCCTCCTCTAGGGGAAGGGACCAAGCAGAGGTTGCGAGTCTGGCCCTCTGGCCTTCCCACCCGAACGACACTGGCATGTGCCCAGTGACTCAGAAACCAATCCCCCAAAGACAGCCCCCAACGGCTGCTCTGATTTATACGTCTGTAATTGGCTATAAACCTCTTCCAAGTGGCCATAACCTGCAGGCAGCCGGGCTGGGCCAGAAAAGAGGGAAGAGAAAAAAGCGGAAGTGCAGAGGACTGGGAAGACTTCCTGGAATAAAAAAGGGACGCCAAAAGAACTCTCCGCAACACAACTATTCGCACTTCCTTCCCACCTTGACCCACATCCCTACACCTGAAGGGGCAGGCCCAGAACCAATGAGATCCCCAGTCTGGCAAACCTAGGATCTTTGCAGGAATATCTCCTGAGCAAAGCGTCTTTACCGTTTGCGTACGAGAGCGCTTGCACACACGCGCGCGCCCGCGCGCCCGCGCGCGCCTAGATTCCTGATTCGGAACAAATGATCCACTTCTACAGCGGCGGCTGAACCCGCACCAAGGTTTCCTGTCTCCCTAGTCTTCTGCGGCTTCAGATTGAAATAACCCCGTTGCAGATCAAAAGTTCAAAGACCGGGGCGCGCCCCCTTCACCTTAACTCTTGTGGACAACGTCTCCTTTTCAGACACTGCACCCTTGCCGGGTCTCCTGACTTCCTGTAGCTCCGGTCCCTTGAGTTCACCCGAAAGGCTAGACCTGAACGCACGCGTCGCCCTCCTGGCCCCACAGGCCACCTTTCTTCCTGAGTAGTTAGATGAGGAAGGAGGGCGTGAAGACGTAGGGTAGAGATCCCTGTTGGTAGAGTTAGAGGCTCCGTCTTCCCGGTGGCTGGACGCGGCACACCGAGTGGGAGCGTAGGCAGCAGGTGGGGAGGACACGATCCACTCAGTACAGCCGTGCTTCGGCTCTGCCCTAAACTGCTCCGGAGGTGTAAGGTCAAAACAACCACCCAAGACCCCCTCCAGCCTAAGAGCTGGAGCTAAAGAAGCGCCGAGGGCCCGAGCTTCCTGACGTTGGTCGCCCGACCCTCTCTGCTGGCGCGGAGCCCCCAAAGCCCTGGTCACCCAGGTGCGCACAGGATGCGCGGCCCGCCCAGCAGCCGGCGTCAGGTCTGCGCCTCCCGGGGCGCCCTCCCGCGGGGCGCGCCGCCGCTCACCTTGGCTTCCGAGGGACGGCTGCGCTGGCTTCCGCATCCACTCGCACAGGTTCCGCCGCTGGCCGCCGGGGGACAGCTGCTCCGCGGCAGCGGTGGCAGCGGGCCCGGGAGGCCCGGGGTTGAGAGTCTGCAGCAATCCTGAGGCACAGGAAGGTGCAGCGGGCGGGTGGTGCGGGTGATGGTGCGGATGATGGTGCGGGTGGTAGTCGGCCGGGCTGCTGTAGCCCATGGCGGCAGCCGGCGAGCCCCCGTTGAGGCCATGAGCCACGGCGTTGGCGGCAACTGCGGCGCCACCCGACGCGTAACCGTTCCAGTCCTCCCGGAGCGGGGCGCCGTAGGCTGCGGGCCAGGATGGCCCCGGGGACTGAGCATTGTCCAAGTTTGCGGCTGCCGCGGCCGCGGCCGCCACATGATAGCCGCCGTAGTCCGGATACTGCGGGGGGCTGACGAAGTTCTGCGGGGCCAGGTTGAGGCCGCCAGAGTGGCGCACGGAGCTGGGGTACATGCTCACGTCCTTGTCCAGGAGGTAGCTCACGTACATGGTGGCGAGGGCCCGACAGCCAACCTCACCATGCTGCCTGGGGACGGACGCTGGGGACTGCCGCGGGGCGCGAAAGGGAAAGGTCGCGGGGGTGCGAGGAGCCGTGGGTGGCTGCGCCCCAGCCTGCGGTGCTCCGCCGGCTACTCGCGGCGCCTCTGCCTCTAAGGCGGTCCCTCCCACTGGCCTGTCTCCTCCCTTTCTTCCCTCCCTCCCTCCCTCCCTTTCCTCCTTCTTTCTCCCACCTCCTTCCCACTAAGCTGCAGAGGCGGGGAAGACCCGCAACCGGCTGGCGTACGGAGCCGGGAGCCCCGGGTCGGCAGCCTTACGTGATTAACAAGTGTTTACAGAACTTTATTAGTAATCACACAGACACCAATGGCTGGAGACGTCTAGGCGAAGCGCGCACCCCGCGCACAACCCCCCGAAACATGATTTGCATTTTAAAAGATAAGGGGGGGAGGGTGCTCGCGAGATGGCAGCGACTTGATCACAGCTAAATATTCAAACGTTTATTGTTAGGAGCTTCCTCCTTCCAACATGGTGCACTTTAACCTTCATTTTCAAACAATGAAATCAAGAAACTTACAAAAGAGAGGGGGAAGATCTAGCTTGGTGGAATCTGGACTTGAAGCGTAAGGAGTTGTGTTTATGTATTTGCAGAAAAGGCGGGGGCGGGGGCGGCGGGGGGCGTCAAGAAGTTCCTTCTATTGCAAGAGAAAAGGGAAGGCATTGCTTTGATGAAAACGTTTCTAACCAACCCGGGAGGCAAAGAGCTGAGCCAGATGGGATGCTCAGGTTCCTTCCCTCTCTGCGACGTTGACCACAATGACTGCGCGCCCCAAACACTGTCATCGCTAATCATTTATTTTCTTCCCTAAGGAAACCACTCACCCTCCGTAGGAGATAAATGATGACCCTAGCTACAGGCTGCGTCTCCGAGTTCATCTAACGTTTGGGGTTTAAGTTAAAGCAATTGTTAAGTAATTGCACTTAACATCAAAAGTCTTTACTACAAACCAAATTAGAAATAAGGCTAGTTGTAGGGCAGTAATGAAGCAGAAGGACGTTGCTCCAGTGCAGATACTGGTCACACTGTGTTTTTGTGAACATTCAGCGAGCTACACTTACGAGTTTGCTATACTTAAAAAAGTGGTTAAAAACCAAAGAAAGGGGAGCTTAGAATGTCCGCTAATATATACCTAGGTCCTGAAAGCACTCTTTCTTTTACAAAGTAAAACATTCTTGAGAGAAAATTATTTGTCATCTTTGCGGGGGGGGGTAAGGAAACCCTGGCCCATTACTAATGATTGCTTCTGAAAAACTGAGTGGGGAAGGGTTGAGAAAGGATCCTCCTCGGTTTATGAAGCACTGTGTCCAAGGAGCCAGGACTGGAAGTCGCGACTGTGGGGATCTCTGCTGCAGGGCCGGCCGGGGATCTGCACCGACAGCAGGAGCACAGATCCAGGAGATTCAGGTCCAGGAGACTCAGCTCCTGCATGTGCCCTCTCAGGTTAGTGACTGCAGGGAGAGGGCCGAGGTCACAGTCTGCCTTCTCTTCCAATCCAGATGGCAATGCCAGGCGAGGATTCGAGGGTTAGAGGATTCACAGGGCCAGTTCGGCGGGCAGGGCAGGCTGACTGGGTTGGCTCTGCTCCTGCTCTGGAAACGGCAGGGCACTGGCCACCCTTCTCCAGATCTGCACTTGGTTCTCGTTGTCAAGCACTCTCTGGTATTTGTCACTTCATGTTGTCATCTCTGGAGCCCTTTCCAGTGTCTTTTATCTCCCCCGATCCTCACCTCTCCCTAGATCTGAAACAAAGCTGGTGTTGTCATGCTCTTCGTTTCACAGATGACACCCACCAAGCTGCATGGTGCAGAGACACCAGGCCCAGGCATGTTCAGGGCTCCTCGGCATCTCCTGCTTGCTGGTCCCTCCCATTCTTTGTGTTTCCTAAGGAAAAAGGTTAAAATTGAGGGTGGGGGGTGGGCAGCAAGCTGAGCACTCAAGAGGCATGAGATTCAAGCAGGTCATCCATGTGGACCCCCTGGGCCTGGCCCAGACAGCTGAGTGTCATTAGGACCTTTCCAGAAAAAAAAAAAATAGAAACTACATTGCAAGCGCCATTACAAAACCCAAATCACTGAATGCGGTGTGAGTGTGAAAGGGGTGTCTGCAGTCCTGATGGGGCAGGAATGTGAGAGGTTAAATGATGGGCACTGAAGACTTTTGATCTAGTAAACATCTTCCTCCTCTTCCTGGAGACAGAGTCCCTCCTTCCGTCCCCCACACCCCTCTCCCAGGCCTCAAGCTCTGGAAGCCAACGAGGCACAGTCTTCAGCCTGTGTCTTCGGAATGTGGGCATTCTTTGTAACAATCATTTTATTGGGGACAGCCATCCCCTCCACCCTGCGGTGGCCACTTCCTGTGTTTTTATGGCCCGGCTGCCAGCCACTGGCTAATTGTCCTGCCTTTCCAGCTGTGTCTCTGTGCTCTGCCCTAGAGAAGGATTCTGGACTGCCCACCCAAATGCTGTGGGGGTGGCCAGGGCGGCACAGGCCGCAGGGGTCATGCCTAGCCCCAGAGCTGGCTGGACTGCGGGGGAAACCTTCGGCTCACTTGGGGTTGGAGGGCTGGGGAAAGGAAATAATTTTGAAAACCAATCAGTTTCCTTCCTGGGTTGAGAAAGGGACCTGTGGTAGCAGCATGGCCCCGCCCATGAGCCTCGGGTCTAAGCTGTTGGGTGAGGGGAAAAGAAATGAATAGTGATGTCCTTGGACAAGCTCCACAGAGTGGAATTGCCCCCTCACTTGCAGGTTGCCCTCACATCTTGTGTACAGCACAGTGGTGGGTTGGTGGAGCAATCTGAGAAGGGTAGCGTTGTCTTTCCATCCTGATGGCTTAGCCTCTGGCAGGTCTTTGTCAGGTGCTTATTCCAAGGTCTGCTGCGGGTGGTGCAACTCCCCAGCCTCTGGATGCAGGTGTGCGGCCCTGGGGGAATGCAGGTGCCAGCTGCATTAGGGCCCCAAGCACCTTTCTCCAAGGTGCTTGACAGCTTTCTCAGAACCTTTTGGCCTGAGCTGAGAAGCACCTAGCAAGGTCATCCGCAACATTGCCACTCAAGGCTCTCTTCCAGCTAGTACCTCTGGTCTCCAACTGGCTGCCCCACCAGAGAAGCCTTTAGCAAATAGCTCTGGAAGAAGCCAACTTATCTGGGAAGCTTGCGGCTGGATTTGGGCTGGGGATGAAGCTGTGGTGGCCCCATGGGGCCAGGGCTAGAGCAGGCTTTTAAAAGCAAAAAGAAGGTGAGAAGAGGGACCCAGCTAAACAAAGTGTCAGGAAGACCACATGGGCAGCCATGACTCAGTTATCAAATGGATTTCTCTGTCACTGAGGGGGAAGTGGCCATTCTACATTCCTCAGAGAGGGTCAGGGCTTCCAGGATCCAGCTCGGTGGCAAGGGCAGGGGCACAGGGGGGATGGGAAGCAGGAGGTTCCGGAAGGGGCGGGCCGTGTTCTCTAGGCAGATGAGACACTCCTTGAATCCACAGATCATTGACAGGGCTCCCTCCCTGCTCAAAGGTCCCCGGTGTTTGCTCCACCTTGGGGGACCCTGCTTTCCCCCATATTTGTGGCTCCTGGAAACTATAGAGCCTGTGACCCTTGTAACCCAGATAGGGCGGGCCAGCTCTATCCACCTTTACAGGCAAGTCTACTTTTAAAATCCCTTTTAAGATCAAGGAACTTATCCAAATAATGCACCATTCCCGACTCCCTCTCCACCACTGCACAGGAAACCCTCACCCTGCATTGACCTGAGTTCCCAGGATAATTAAGGAAGAGTAAGAAGGAAGAAAATGTTTGATAAAGCTGTTCGGCTTGGCAATTTGTACTGCTGTTGGGAAAATGACTCAAAGTGCATTTCACCAGAGTTTAGGGAGTTCCTCAGCCATTGCATCCAGTCAGCACCCCCCCCCCCACAGGAAGGCTCAATAATGGTCGGTTTGACCCCCAAACCCCACCCTAGCCTGCCACAGCCCACTCAGCTAAACTTGCTGAAAAAGAAATGGATCACAGAGTCCTCTCTGTGGGGCCTCTCCGGAGTCCACCGTCTGCTCAGCCCCATCAGGCCACATGGAGCCCAACATGTTCATCCTGAAAAGCAGACAAGGACCGCACCATCCAAAGCTGCCCAGGAGTAGATTTGTCCCTGCCCAGTGGAGTCAAACTGAATGTTTCATCCTCTCCACCTGAAGAAAAATTCCTGAATTTGTAGGAGGTCACTGGTGGACTCGGGGACCAGGGTCCCAGACAGTGGGAAAAACAGCTGCCTTACTCTTTTCATGGAGGTGCCACCAAGGGTTCAGATCCAAGGCAGGCAACACCTTTTTTCCTCTCTTCTATCCAAGATATATTCTTAAAGGCAGGAGAGTTAGGAAAATAAAGAGCCCCAGGGAAGGGCTTGGAATTTGGGGGCAGAAATCTGGTTTGGCTTGCAAGAAAGGTGGGGGGGGGCAGGGGGGCTTGGGCTTCTCACCACAGAGGAAAACCCTTGATGCGGGGAGAACCAGGCTCCCAGGCCAGCAGCAGCTAGAGGTTATCACAGAGCCTTCAGTTCCCATTTGTTCACTTGCCAGTGCCTCCTGCTTAAAGTGACCTTTGTTTATCATAGGAAAATATGTTCCTAGGAAGCCCTACACAGTAGGCTTTATGGGGCTGTGGGAAGGGGCTCAAGTAAAGGTTCAGCTCTCCTTGAGTCACTGGGCCCATTGGAAAGCTACTCTCCCTAGAGAGGAGACAGGGGACTCAGTATTTGTGTAACCCTTCCATATTACAAAGGAGAAATCTGAGGTCCAGAAAGGTTAGGGGACTTTCCCAAGATCACACTAAATTAAACGAGCTGTTATAGTGCAGCAATTTTTCACCTGGTATGCCACAAGAATTTTTAAAACAAGCAATACCTGACTATTTAGTCAGGGACACTGACCTCTTTTCCCATAGATTGTCATATTAAACACACACACACACACACACACACACACTCACACACACAGAGCCAACACAACAATAGCCATCAGATTGGCAAAAAATATAATATTTTTGGTGTGCTGCAGAATTTTAATAATTTCTGTGTGCCATGAGATGAAAAAGGTTGAAAATCACTGCTATAGTTCATTCTTTGTAATTCTGTGCATGTGTTAATTATTACTAAGGCTGCTGGTGCCACCCTGGAAACACTGTCTCCCCAACAGGAGACCAACAAACACCCCAGCTCCCCACCCCTACCCCGAGCTGTACCAGAGCAACCAGTTTCTGCTTTGGGGAAGGTTCGGATGATTTTCGCCGTCCTGTTTATTTCCCCCTTTCACAGGCACCTGCCAACTGCTGTTTATTAGTTTCTTGGTTGGTGAATTTTCCACAAATTCTATCCCACATTTTTCTCCAATTGCCAAAGAAGCTATCCATCTACTTTTGTCCCACAGTCAATACTTTGCAAAAAGAGATCTCTAGTTTTTAATCAAAACCGGTATCTTGTGGCTATTCTCTGGAAATGTGTTAAAAGTAAAATGAGTAATGGTTACGCAAAGAAATTGTGCTGTCTTTCCCTTTCCCCCTTTCCCTTCTTCCTACATCACTGTCCGTGGAAAGCTTTTGGATACAAACCAAAAAGCCTCCCTCACTGGGAAAATGAAGGAAGCCCCCATACAGGTTCCGGTTACGTAGGTGAAAGCCAAGCTCTGATGGGCCCGTGAATTCGTGGCGAGACCCGTCGAGTCCGTTCATTCAAGGGACGCCCGGACTGGGCTTGCACTTTTTAAGGGGACGTGGAAATGAACAAAGCAACGCCTCCTCAGAAGGGCGTGTGCTTGTAGGGGCTGAAGCGTTCGGATATTGAAATCAGCTCCTCCGCCTCTTAGCGTTGCCGTCGTGCTTTTGTAACGAATTGGTAAGAAAAGTATTATTATTCGCCCTGGCATCTGCACCAATTATTTCTGCGCCCCTGACACTCACTGGGTGCGCTCTGGTCACCCAAAGCGCCGCGGCGGGTGCGCGGACGGGGATCCAAGTCCTGGACCGCTGTCCCTGCTGCCGGGTTTGTCTCCCGCATCTTGCGCACTGGAGCGCGGAACCAAGAAAACCTCTCGGCCAGGCGGAGGTCCGCGGAGACCCAGGGCGCGTCACTGTTTGAGCCAAACTGTGGCAGGAGAAAACTGCACTGCCAGACCTCGGCAGGCACAGGGACTGTCCGCGCGAGCAAAGGCCTCCGCCTCTGCTCCCACCGGAGAAGAGAGTAGGAGCAGCCAGAAGCTTTAGCCAAGGCCCTTCCCAGCCCGGCCAGTCCCTCGTCCATCCTCCGGCTGCAAAGGCTCGGGCTTCCTTGAAAGAGGCACCGCGCAGCCGGCTCTCCCTCCCCTACACCCCCAGCTCCTCTGAAAGAGCGGTTCCAGCGTCTTTCCTCATGCGTACCCCCTCCTGCAGAAATAAACAATTTCTCCGACAAGCTTTGAATGGCTGAAATGTAACTGTGAAATTGGAGACACCAGGTCGTTCCTGAGAAGTCCAGATCACTTCTGTACTCGTTCTAAAAACAGCGCTGGGAGGTCTGCCTATCTTAGGGTGAGCTCACTTTCAGAAGGAGCCCAGGCTCTGCATTGGGTGGCCCATCTCTCTAAGAGCTGGACTCAGCCAGGGTTTGACGGGATGCCTTGCATCTACTGCATGATTCTGAGTGTCAGGCCCAGCCTGTGGCACATGTGTCCTGGACCCAGCGGCAGGTTTCTTGTGTGCGTTGTCAGGAAAGCCCCCCAGTTACCCTGGCCGAAAAGAGACAGGGGTCCAGCCCTAGGCCCAGGGGCTCCGCCATTGCCTCTGGGTCCTATAGCACAGAAACTGAATCGCTGAGTTCCCTTTGCCGTTTGCACCTGACCTTCCTAGGCCCAGAGAAGGCTCTGGCAGAGACCCCAGCTACAAAGACGCTAGTGATCACAGCTCACTCTCCTGGTTTTCTCACATATGCCTTCACCTTTACCACTAACTGGGGACACCTGTAAAATGCGAAGGGCGAGTGAGGTTACTTGATTAAAATTCCAGTGCTGCCACAGTGGCTTCTTTCTCTTGAATCCAGCCCCGATCAAGGATGTGGCCACACCATTTTTTATGGAAAAGAAGGTTTTCTTGTTGCTGTTGCTGCTAACCCAGACCACTAGTTGGTCACTAATGGAGGTTCTTGTCTGTAAAAGGGCCAGCTCTGCCTTGACTTCTACCCTGGTTAGGATGAGGAGGGTACACATGGCTAGGTTCTTCTCTGCCAACAGAAACCTAAATAGCAGTTGTTGGGTTTGTTACATCTTCCTCTGTGTGTGTGTGTGTGTGTGTGTGTGTGAGAGAGAGAGAGAGAGAGAGAGAGAGAGAGAGAGAGGGAGAGAGAGAGAAAGGTGAGTTCTTCCTGCATAAGTGGACGTTCTGGCCACCAAGGCAGGAAGCTGCCCAGCCGGCTGGGGATCTGTAGCCCCAGGGTTGACAGCCTCCGCCAAGCCGACCTACTTTGGCCAAAAAGATTTCAATGGGCACTGCTTTTCTTCTTCCATTACCCAGTGTATCAGCTCTACGACGTCCCATCTTCATCCCGCCGGCCACGATATCCAGGATTGCTCAATGAGTATCATTACATTATTTTAAATTAAATTTTTATTGCCAATTTTTAAAATGAGTAATGGGTTTCCTGGGCAGTCTGAGGTTCTGAGGAGCCTACCTCCAGGAGAGACCTGCCCCAAGGAGCACGTTCCCAGCGCTGGCCTATCGCGGTGCTCTCTCCCACCCAGCTTTCCCAAACTTGGCGTCCTTGGCGCGCGGCGCCGGCGCCGCAGACTGAGACCCGCGCTTGCTTTCCTTGCACGGGCTCCTAACCTGCCCCAGAGCGAGAATGCCGCTCCGCTCACATGTAAATGTCGGTGTAGCAAGTAAGGTGAGAGAAGAAAAACAAACAGGCAAACCTCTATGGAATAAAGGGTTAATTTTCCGTCCATTTTGCTTGGCAACTCCAGCTTAGCAGGAAAGGGTATGCAGCCAGAGCTGGATAAGCACTTTGGAAACCGCAAACGCTGGTGGTGTCAACGGGCCGCAAAGGGAGTGAAGAATTGAAGCAGTGAGCTGGATAAATGGGGCAAAGCACGAAAATACATAGATATTTTGGCAAATCGTGCGAGAGGGGGCGGTGAACAAAAGGACTCATTATTCGTTTGATTGCCTCAATCTTCCCCTTCCTTGTGTGCGCGGCGGACGCGGGTGCAGGACTGTGCCAGCCTCCCGCCCAGGGCGCGTGGTGCAGGGTCGCGGTCTCCGCGCGTCCCGCGCCTGGGCGCGCGCGGCCTCTACAGTCGGGCAGGGTCGACGCCGAAGAGGTCGGCGAGCCGCAGGCGGCCGATCTTCTTCACCTCGCCCAGCGCTGTGCGCAGCTCCAGCGCAGATGGGCAGTGCAGCCGGCGCCCTAGCTCGCGGAACACGATCTCCCGGTCGCTGAGGCGCGCGGCCAGCACGAAGGGGAAGCCGAAGCGCGCGCGGTACTGCGCGTTGAGTTCAGCCAGCCGAAGCCGCTCGTCCTCTCCCAAGCTCGTCAGGCCCGCGACGCTGTGCTCCCGCAGTGACTCGCCAGTCAGCGTGCCCCGCTGCAGCTCGTGGCCCGCCAGGTCCGGGTAGCAGCGCAGGACGCCCTCCTGACCTGCGGAGAAGAACAGACACCCGGCGGGGGCCCGTTACCTCTGCGCTGAGGGGGCGGAAGGGGCTACCGTCTGCCCCGCCCCGAAGTGGGAATCGCGGTTCCCAGGAGATTATGAGGGGCCAAAAGGAGTGTCCTGGAGGAGCAGGGGCGCCCATTGCACTCGCCCCTCAAACAGGTCCTGAACCTTGCGCCCCTGTGTCTCCGCTTCTTTCGGCCTCCGTCGGGACCCAGGGGCGGGGCGGGAAGTGACAAATTTGTCCTTTGAGACCTTGGGGCAAGAAGAGCGGAGGGGTGAGGCTGCTGAGACGGAATTTACGACTCGTTCGGGAGGGAGCAGGGACGCGATAAGGAGCCCCAGCATTTCGTATCTTTTCAAAGTCCTTTGCTCTCAGGGGGGCTTTGATGTCGCAGAGGGACGGACGAAGGCCTGAGGACTTCCTGCAAAGGCCAAGGAATGGGGTTCGTTCTGTTCCAGAGAGGAAGGACGGGGACGGCCCACAAGGATAACATCCATGGGGCGTGGCAAAATGCCCAGGATTTTGTGACCTTTCTGGAATCAGGCCTCCAAAGAGCCCTGCAGATGATTAACTGGGGGGGAAAAAATCCCGCCAGAATTCCGCAGCCCTTTGAATGAAAGTGGCTTTTAGGAAAATAGCACCCACTCACCAACCACCCTGTCTGAGGCTCATTCCCCTTCCTCAACAGTAGATCCCAAATAGACCAAGAAGTATCACGTTTTCTCATAATCCCCAAGAACTAGAGTGGGACCCCCGGTGTGATTCCCGAGAGTAAATCGTAATCCAGGGGTTTTCTCGAGCCCTGGCAAATCTTTCCTCTTAGCTCTCTAGAGGTCACTGGAATCCTCAGGGCTGGGGGAGGTTTCAGATAGGGTGAGAGGGAGCCACAATCCGTATAGCGAGAGTAATGAGGCCGAATTTGCTGAGCAGTTGTGAAGACTGGGGATAACTCATCCGCCTAAAGCACAGCGTCCAATGCTCAGTGTAACTGACTGAGGCGCGGCCTGACACCTCTGACTCCAGCGCTGGGAATAGGCAGGGGCTCCATTGGAAAAGCGATCACTTAAAAGCCCTCTTCCTTGTGATGTAAACATTCCTTTACTCGAACTTTATCATTTCTGCCCAATTAAAGGATGATTGGGATTGTTCTGCTTAACTCATGGACCAGAGTCCTGAGCAATGGGGAGAACTGCAGGGGAACATCTGCATTTAAGAGAGGATTTGATGGAGGCTTAGAAAAGGTTAGGTGACCTCCACAATGTCACCTAGCCAGAGGCTGACTGTCACTGGACTCTGGACTCCAAATCCTGGGCATCTTTCAGGGCACTGGCTGCCTCTACAAGGTTAAGGGGAGTTTAAAATGAAATCCAGTGTCACCAATAATCCCATCTCTGTATCACCATGGTTTTAGAACCCCTCTCCTGGCCCTGCAAACAGGAGATGGTTCTTTCTTATTTCCTGCATCCAGCCCTGTCCAGGTGGTGTGAAAATGTGGATGTTAAATTCCCTGCCTGGGGACCTCCCGACCCAGCTCTGACTCAAGAGCTGGCTGTGCTATGAGGTTGCTGGATCTGCTTCTGCTGCGCACCCACTCAGCCCCGGGCCGCTCAGGCTAATCGGCTGGGGTGGGGGACACTTCGAGTCCTGGGAGGCTCTGCAGGTGCCCGACTGTCAGTGCCTATCCCTTGCCGCCTCCTTGCATATTCAGATTTTCAAAGCAGCCTCAAGGGAAGGTGGAGTTGGCCCCAGTCCTCTCAGGACTTCTTGTCTTTCAGCTTCCCCTTCACCCTATTTCTTACTCTCCAGAGGCCCAGCTCTAGCTTCAGGGCAGTAGGTATAGGTGGGAGACGCTGGTGTGGGGGCAGGACCTGTCCCCTTACCGCCCCCCTACAGGACTTGCCTCACTGTCCCACGCGTGCCCCACCAGACTCTGTTCCTCTTGCCTTTGCACCTCTCTTCTAATTCCCCTAGGTTTGCCTCTTCTCTTGAAAACGTTGCCTGGGGTTAATGTTTGCCCAGGACCGAGCCTGTATTTTCCACTGTTTGCAGGAGGAGAGGGAGGAGGCCAAGAAAAGGGGCAAAGCAAAGAGAAGAAGAGACTAAAAAATAAACTGGAACTTACACACACACACACACACACACACACACACACACCCCTCAGCTGCAAGAAATAGGACCTGCCCTGGCTGGTGTGGCTCAGTGGATTGAGTGCTGGCCTGTGAACCAAGGGGTCATCACTTTGATTCTTGGTCAGGGCACATGCCTGGGTTGCAGGGGTCCCTGGTGGAGAACACGCGAGGGACAACCACACAGTGATGTGTCTCTACCTCTCTTTCTCTCTCCCTTCTCCTCTCTCTAAAAATAAATAAATAAAATATTTTTTTAAAAAAAGAAATAGAACCTGATGTGTAGTCCTGTCCTCTGTATTTATTGCCCCAAACCACTGAGCCCAGAGTACTGCCCAGGATGGCTCTGATCCAGTCCCCCTGGCCTGCAGCAATGCTTCAGTTTCCCTCCCAATGCTGCACCCTGGAAACATTTCCAGCCTTGACCTTAAAATCCTGCGAGGGGCAGGTACTGCCAACCTCCCTGCCTTTAGTCCTGTGGATCCTCCCACTTGGAATGCCAAAGTTCTAACCAGATACCTGAATGTCCCTTGGTTCTCAGGGCCATTTCAATGTTGCCTGTTCTTTAGCCTGTGTAGAGATGTAGGTGTGGGTATGTAGTGTTTGCTGCAGCCACAAGACATGCATCTTTGCATCAGAAGAATTCCTGGCATAGAGCTGACACTCTTTGTTCCAAAAGGAGAAGACAGGGCAGTCAATAGAGGCCACTGAAGAGTAGGCAATTTGCTTACAACCCTGTTCCGGTCCACTTGTGTCCCTACATCTGTGCCAAGTAGTGTGTGCTCCTTCCTGGTACAACAGATCATTCAGTCCCTCTATTGAAGATCAACCTCTCCACTGGCGTTCTTGCAGCCAGTCTCTCTTCATCTCAAAGACTGCAATTTCAAACATCAGTGTCTCTTCCTTCAACTCATTGCCTTATCATCAATACACAAACATGCCATAGAATCACTCATCCCATAAACAAAATCAAATCCCTCCCTTGAGTTCCTGTTGTCCTCTAGCTTCTCCCTATGTCTCTGCTCCTCCTTAGAGCAACTCAAGAAAGCTAATATCTATGTAATATCTCCATATCTTTACTTCCTATTTCAGGTTTGCTCTACCAAGCTTTCAGTCCCACCCACCAACAAGTCTGCATTCATCAAGGGCACAGATGATGGACATTTTGCCCAAGCCTATGACCAGAGCTCTGTCCTCTTCTCTCACAACCTCTTTTGGAGCATGTCACAGGGTTGACCCTCTCTCCTTCTTGAAAGATTACCATCACTTGCTTTCTTTCACCAATGATTCTTGCTCTGCTGGATTACTAACATAGAAGCACCAGAGACTCATCTCTCCTCCCTTCTGTATTTACACTGATGCCCATCTAGTCCCATCACTTGAAATGCCACAAAGCCTTTGATGACACTCAGATCTAGTCTAGCCTTCAACTTTTCACCGAGTACCTTTGTTATGGCCCACCTGGAGATGCTATCTTTTCATCCAGGTGATTGCCAGCATCTCAGACTTTACAAACTCCCACTCTCTATCCTTAAGTCTTCCTCATTGCAGAAAACAGAACTACCACCCACTCCATTGCTCAGACTAAAAACTTAGGGGTTACCCTTAATTTCTCTTAGTTTTTGACCTGCCTTCCCCCAACAAATTCCAAAAACCTTTTGGCTCTAACTCTAAAATCTATTTTGAGAATCCAGCCACCTCTCTCCATCTCTCCTGCTTCAATCCTTGTCCAAATGACCTCTGACTTTTAAGAGAGGTCCCTGCTAGCTGACCTCTCTTTCCTCATATTTCTCCATTTCTCACTATTCTCCAACCATCTTCATCTTTTCAGTGCCCCCAAATGCCAAAAGTCTCAGGTCCCTTTTCTTAGAGTGTCCTTCTCCTATCTTTGACTGCCTCCTTCTCATCTTTTGGTTTTAAACTCAAATATCACTTCCTAAGAAAGACCTCTCTTTTCTTATGCATTTTCTATAAGAGTACTCATTTTCTTCTAATAGTTCCTAGAATCCAAAATTATTTATTTATGTTAATTCTGTCTCTCTTCAGTGGAATGTAAACTCATTAAAGTAAGGAACTTGTCTTGGTCACTGTTCCTGGGACAATTTCTGGGGCATAGTGGGCATTTGATAAGTATTTTGTTGACCAACACATCACTCTTGGGAAGGAATTTAATATATTCTTTGACAGAATATGTTTTAATAGCCTCTTCTACTTTATAGCCTGCATTCAAGGGCTTTATTAGTATCTAACTTCATTAATTCAACAACTCTGTTTTGAAATGAGTATTAAATAATGAATTATGCCATTATCACAACTGTGAAATGCCACAAAGAGATGCATGATTAACTCTACTATAACAGTTTTATTGCTCTTTGATTTTTAACACAAACTGGTACTGAACTATTTCATCATCGCCACTGTGCGTGTGTTTGCGCGCACGCGCGTTTCAACGTTCTTCCCTTTACTATTGCCATTCCCCTTTCCTGTAAATCAGGAGGTTAGCTTCAAGGGGTACTTGGCCAGGTTTTGCTAGAACTAAATATTAATCCTGGGCTGCCACCTACTGGTTAGTAGTCATCATAGCACAACCTAAATGGATTGCCAGTGGCTTGTCAACCTTTTTCCTGTAAACATGGGATCTTCAGTTTTCTGTTAATGGTAGAGAATTTTCTTAGATCATTTAAAACAGATGTTGGATGAGGTGAATCATCACAGCATGCACATTTCCTTAAAGTCCGTTTTACTTTTAGGATACAAAGACTATTGCACGCAGTTTGTTCCTTACTCTTCAAGGAATAGGGCTAGACTATGCAGTAAATCCCATTTTATTTGACTACTTAAGCAACCAAAATAGGCCTGTGGCATCAAGCATTTATGTTAATTAAATAAATTAGTAAACGAATGAATAAAACCCTTAGGAATTGTTTCTAGACTTTGCTTCCAATTCTCTGGAAAAATCCTTCAAAGGCTGCTGGGTTGACTATCAGGGTTTGAGTCCCAGTTCTGCCACTTGCTAGTTGGGTGTCCTTGATCATGTGACTTACTGTCTCCATGCTTCAGTTTTCACCTCTGTAAAATGGGGATAATAATGATAATACTCGTTTTCTAGAATTAGTGTGAGGCTTAAATGAATTAACAAATGTTGAGTATTTGGGAAAGTGCCTGAAACACGCTGATAGTAAGGGTTGACTACGTTTTAACTATTATTATTATTATTACTAGTACTTTGCTAACATCACCTGTCTGGTATTATTAAGGTGATTAGATAATGAGCACCCACTCAGACAGCATGGAGGCCTGCTCCCAGCTGTCTGTCTGAGATAATTACGGACACCAGCATAGGGCTGAGAAGCAGGCTCCACCCGCAGAGAGGTCCCTTAACTAGACCTTACCAGCCTTAACTAGAGCTTCTAGTCCAACTAGTTGGAGTGACTGTTGATAGGAGAGAAGAAAGAAATAGGGAAATTTTTATTTCATTATCTAAGCTCCTAGTACAGAGCAAACTCCAAATAAATGTTGAATAACTGATAAAGCAATGAATACTGGATTGAAATTATTTATGCTGTCACAGCTTTCTCTCTCAATACATTCCTTCCCTGGCCCTACCATCGCTTTGGGTATTGAGATAGATTATAGGATTTTCCTCCTTTTACTTATTTTTTCTTTTCCTGATAGAAAAAAAATATGTCATTCACAAAGCATTCACATCCTTTAAAAATCATTTCCCCTCTGGCTCAGAAGACTTCATTTGTCCTTCGTCCATTTTCCTGCCAGACATTTTGAACTTGAGCTCCCAGGGCCTCCTGCTCTTTCCAGCAGGCCGCGGGCTGATGGTTCCTGTGGGTCATCGATCAGAGGGCTCTGCTGTATGTCAGCTCCCCTAGTGCCTGAGTTCAGTGGTGGAGGGAAAAGCTCATTTGGAGAGGCCCTGAGAAATGGGTGTCAACATGGCCGCAACATTTCTGTCAGTTTGAGTTTGTAACACTATCTCCTCCACTCTTCCTAGATGTGCCTAAAATACATTAAAATGAGTTTCTTACTTGGGAGATGTTCATTTGACAATGGGAAGCCATCCCAGATATCAAAGGCCTGGATGGATAGGCAAGACCCTGTTCGCTGACCTCATGGAAGAGGGGAGAGGGTCAGTTGTCCCTCTGCACCCAGATCTCTGGGGAAGGCCCCTCTGTGACAGCAGCACTTGTCTCCCCCGCTTCCTGCTGTCCCTTCAGCTCCATCCAGGTGTCTCAGAAGAGTTATCTAGACAATCTCTTTGGCCTCTAAATCCCTGTGAGGCTGAGTCACTTGTGGTTTGCCTGAACCTCCACCCCACACCAGAAGTGCTTCCTTTTCTCTCTCCACCCAGAGGAAATCAACAACTTCTTTCCCTTTCTCCAGAAGAATTCATTCAGATTTTTGTCTTTTCTCCTTCACGCCCCTCCGGGAGAAGCTGATATGAATGAATTTACCTTCCTCAGCAGTCCAGTCCAAACTGGCCCTTTTTGGTAAAAATTTCAGCCATGTGCTCTTTCCCCTGGGCTCCTGAGATACTCTGGTATCACGCTGTCTTCTCTCCCTCATACAGGACATTCCCAAAGTGAACACACTCAGCTGAAACAGGTAGGCCCTCGGCCTGACCTTTGGCTTCTGAGCCCTGTGAGGCCCCAATCTCTTTCCTCATGACCTCATAGCTTTAACATTTAACAGCCACTTTACCTGAGCCAATATACATTCTTTTACCTTACTTTTGACTTAATACCGTGCAAGTGCTGAACTCCCATTTACTAATTTTGAGGAAACTTAGTGGCCCTTACAATAAAAATAGCTAAATAAATATAGCAATTATAACTAACTAAAGGAGCTGAATGTGTTTTGATAAGAATATTTGAAACCCCTCAGTGGAGAGTACCAGAGTCTTACCTGACTGTGGCAGAGCATCAATAAAGGCAGAAAAGTGCCTCTCTAAATCTTTCCAGTCAGAGAATGGGCTCTGGGACCAAACAGCAGCTGCAATCAGAGGACATCTCTCAATGATATTCCCAAATACATCCACAAATTCTCGAAAGTCCATGGAGTTGACTTTCTCTATGTCCATTGCTTGCAGGCAGTGGGAGGTCAGCTCCCCTCTTGCTGAGTGGGCGACAGGGACTCTGCTCACCAGGTTATATTTGCTGAATGCACAGCTTGTTTTTTATGCAACACCAGGTTGGCATGCTTTAAATGCCCCCGAGAAGCAGATCCCGAGGACTTGTGTAATAAGCAAACACAGGCTTTGGATTCTAATCGAGGGAGTGACTATCTGTGTGTGGTAAACATTTTCAGTCAAACTGTTTGCACCATCAAAGCCACAAGGGCCATATTTCACTCTCAGCATTTAAGCCACATACAGTTTTGGTGTCAATAACATTTTAATGTCAACATATCCTAGGGAAGATTTCCCTGAGAACCTCAAAGACAGGTCACAAGTCAACCCACTTGGAATTTGGTTGCCCACCTGTTGCTGCTGCAGTGGAGGGCAGGTAGTATGTTTTACTCTTTCTCTGTATTGCAAATGCTTCATACAATAGGTACTTAGTAAATGCTCATTAAACAGGGGACCCAGAACGGTGCCCATGGTGGGCTGGCAATAAATCTGTGGGTCGAATTAAGTGACCAAATGACTACATGGATTAATTTTTCACCCTCACATTATTCACAGACACCCCCACCCCAAATACTGTGGATGATAAAGTCAAAGAAAAGGAGGGGTCAGAATTTAAAAATAAAGATATAGCTTTAGAACCAAAAACAGAAACATATTTCCAAAAGTCACACAAGGTACACATTTGCTTCCATCTGAATCAAATTCAAAGAGAGAGCAACTACTTTAATATTAAATTAAGATAAATCAGTCACTTTTGTCCCTGTGGTCTGTGAGAGACGAGCAACGGTAGTGCCCAGGACAATCTATCACAGCTACAGATTTTGTCCTAACTCTATAGACATGTCCCAGCCCAAGTCTCACCCTGACTACCTGGGCCAAGGTTATGACTAAAGGACAGACCTCATTCTTTGAAAAGAAACTGATGAAATTTGCTTCTCGAAGGAGAAAATCTGGTGCCAGAAGTACCACCATTACTGATCTTGTCTTCAACATGAAAGAAGCCATACAAGATTAACACTTACATGTCACATACCTACATATATGTAAAAAGACATAGGATCCTGCGGAATACATGCTGCTTCAGATCTGCTCTGCCACCTACCATCTGACACCTGGTAAGTTACTGAACTTTTCTGTACCTCAGTTTCTTTGTCTGTAAAATGAAGATCATAATAGTATTTACCTCATGGGATTTTTGCAAAGGTTAAATAAATTAATATACTAACGTGTTTAAAATGGCTCCTTTACATAGCACTACCCAGGTGTTGGCTAATATAACATTTTCTATTACAGTGTCTCTGTTGGACCAACCACAAAATTTTCTTTTTCCCATTCTGCCACCAGAGTCATGTAGGCTTTTCCTTGCCCCTGAGGTTCTGCCGCAGACCCAGTTAACAGCCCAGTATACACTTTGTCCCCTTCTCCCCGCACCACCGCCCTCAGCCCCGGTTCACTCTAGAGCTGACCTGTGCGGCAGCTGCAATGTCAGAGTGCGCCCTGGGGAAAGGGAAGGTGTGGTCTGTCTAGGGCCCCGCTGCAGTCCATCCGGCTTCCCAGCCTGATTCCTAGGCTCTGGGTGACCGGGAAAAAGATGGAGTGGAAGCTGAGGAAGAAGGGGGTCCTGGCTACGCTGCTTTTGTCCCGCACCTCTTTGCCTGACCCCCTTACTGTTTCCCCTTATCCCTGCACACCAAGGGTCCCCTGCGCTCAGAGGGGCTCCTGCCTGGGGCTTGAGCCCGGGGGCTTGTCAGTTCTTCTGAGAGCAGCCAGAGATAGAAATCTGCATTTGCAAGAGGAACGTGCTCAGGCTTATCCACCTAGAAATGCTGATACCCCTGGTGGGAAGGGCTGCCTACTGATGTCACTGCATTTCTGGCAGAGACTGGAAAGCTAGCTTCCTTTTTCTTTTTAATTTTTCTTTTTCTTTTTAATTTATTGAACTTAATGGGGTGATATTAGTTAATAAAATTATATAGGTTTCAAGTGTACAGTTCTGTAACACATCATCAGCATGTTGTATTCTATGTTCACCACCCAAAATCAAGTCTCCTTCCATCATCATTTATCCCCTCTTTACCCTCTTCCACCTGCCCCCACTTCCCTTTCCCTCTGGTGGTCACCATACTGTTGTCTGTGTCTGCGAGTTTTGTTCGTTTGTGTCTTAATCCTTTCACCTTTCCCACCCGCCCCCAACCCTCTCCCCTAACCAGCCTCCTTTTATTTTGTTCTATCTATAAGACAGGGCCCGGCAGAAGTGACGCCTGCTTGAGCGTGGTTGGTAGAGTAATAACATGGGTGTAATAACTTACAGTTTTAATTTGACTATTTCACCAAAAACATCATGTGGTATGTATGAATGTGATGTTGTTTTATTACAGAATTATATGCTTATGATTTTGTAATAAAAGATTTTATAATAAAAAGGGGGCATTGTTTGTGCCAGAGCCTGTATAATAACAGAACTCCAAGTGACTTACAACACATTAATTTTTAAGATACTAACATTAAGGAATTAAACAGCCACAGATATAGAGACAACACTGACAAAAAACCCAAATTACTAAGGTGGAACTAATACGGCAGCTCATGCCACAGAAGCTCTCTGGGGCTTAACTTTTCCTGTTTGACTCTCAGGAATCAAATCAATCAACATAAGGTAAGGTGGTCAGAGGTAAGGCAATTTTCACCCAAGCAAAAAGTTGAGTTATTGAACTGTATACTAGAAAGAGGTAAGTGATATGGTATATGAATTATATGTCAAAAAGCTAGTTTTTAGTTTTTTTAAAGTTAATTTATATATAAATGTAGCCTCTTAATTTGTGTTTACCAATACAATATGTGGTTCTTATGTTCTGATTGCTGAATGTATTATAGTTGACTTTATTATAATTTTTTAAGACACTTTTAGCAGTACATGCAGAAAATTCTTAAATAGGCACAGTTAAATTTTTATTTCATTTTTTAGTTGAAACATTCCGCGTGCCTGCTTCCTCCAGCTATCGCCGTTAGCTTTTCATGAATGAGCCCACGCAGGAGAGTTTTCTCAATAAGATACCAGAAAGACAGCTCTCTTTCCTACATATACATTCATGATTCGAGGCAAACTGAAAGTTGGAAATCCTACAATCTTGCTGTTACCAGCCAGCTTTCATCGGCCGAGGACTGAGCCAAAGCAAGATAAGGGCTTCAGGAAGTAGCCCAGAGGCCAGTGTGGCTGAGAGGAGAGGGGGTGGGGGGTCCAGGCCAGGCCTGCACTTAGTACCCCCGTGTGTCTGAACTTCCAAGGGCCTACCTCACAATTTGTTAAATGAAACAATACATGTCAAGTGTTTAGCAACAGCTCAAGGATACATGTGTCATCAGTAAATGCTAACATAAAGAATGCATCAAAGCAAACCGTGAAGACATTATGTTAGGTGAAACAAGCCAGTTACAAAAAGGCAAATACTGTATGTTCCACTTCTGTGAGGTACCCAGTAGAAGTCCACTTCATAGAAGTAGAAAGTAGAATGATGGGTGCCAGGGCTGGGGGAAGGATGAGTGGGGACTAGTGTTTAATAGGGACGGAGTTTCAGTTTGGGACGATGGAAAAGTTCCGGTGATGGGTGGTGGTGATGTTTGCACAACAGCATGAATGTGCCTAATGGTTAAATGGTAAATTTTATTTTATGTCTATTTTACCACAAAAAATTCATCAAAGTCTTTTCATCCTTATTAAGGTAATTTGAAATTTAATACATTTGAACTCTTAGAAGCTAAAAAGATGTGGGGTTTTTATTTTTATTTTTGGCGAAATCTCCCCTTACCCTTTTTGTTATTGGTGTTGTTGCTGATGGTGATAGTGGCATTGACAGAAACGAATGTGAATATTGATATGCCATTTATTTTTGACAAAAATGATAGAGGGAGTAGTAGAAGAGTTCAGATAAATCTGTTACTGAGAAAGACCTTCCTGAAGACCTGCGGCGAAAGAAGGGAGATCAGGAAGAAAACCAAGTGACAGTGGTGGGGGAAGGAAGGACAGAAAGGAAGGCGGGTAATTGAAGGGCTGGAACTGTGATAAGAGGTCACCCAGGACATCTTCCTGCTGCAGCCGAATGCCCCTGGGTGTTTTTCTTACTCCAAAAAATCTCTAGGAAATAGGCCTTTTATTTCAATAGAGGAAACCAGCGCAGGCTCAGAGAACACTGAGTATAGAAGGTGATCCAAGAAGAAGTTCAAAAGTCAATTACATGTGCAGATGAAGGCACTCTGTAGAACAGAGTGGTAAAAACCAGGTCCTGTGAAAGAATCTGGCATTAGGCTGCTCAGTTCATGTCAGGAATATGGTAAATGAATAATGCACATAAAAATTCACAATTGTTACCATACTCAAGAAACAGCTGAAGGCTGAATAAATGGATTGATGTTATATAACAGAAGGTTGTTTTTTCTTCTAATTAACTGATTGACCTTTCCTTTAATTCTGCTTAAAATGTGCCTTTCAGGGGCTGTGCAATAACAAAGTCTGGCCTGATGGCTGGGATTAGTTAAAAACCAGTAGTCCTAGGGCGCCACCTACTGGTGAGAGAACTGTAAAGGCCTGGCTGAAGGGGCTGTCCAAGCAGTGGTAGCAGCAACATCTCTAAAACCAGTCTGTGTTAGTTGCGTAGCATTGTCAGGGACACAGTTTTGCCTAAACCAAAACCCAGTCTGTTGTAAAAGCTGGGTTTAATACAATCTAATTTCATTATAAATGTCATCCATCCTTAGAGAATGTTGCCTTTTAAATATCATATTTGATATAACAAATGATATAAAAGTAAAATGATACAAGGAGCACTCTTGAACTCATTACCCTAACCAATCCAAAACACTTCAGATGTCATCAGTGTGAGAGTGACTAAATGATGGTGATTGTGAGTTCACATAGTACAGCAGTGAAACAAAAGAACAAAAGGTTCATGTAACACCGTGAGTGAATCTTAGAGGCATATGCTGATCCAAAAAAAATAAATAAATAAAGCAAGATCTGAAAGTCTGTACAGAGTATGTTGCCATTTTC